CTCTATCTATTAAACAGAAACTCAGATTTCTATGGAATTTCGAAAAAAACTTATTAACCACACAAAGTTAGCAAATGAGGTACCAGGACACCCAGTAATACTCTAATGTATGTTCTGTGAAGCCTTGTGAGTCTATCTCAGCATACTTGTGATCACTCCTCCGGCAGTCACTATGCATGTTTTATACCGGGAGGTGTTTTTTTTCCGTATCATGATCCCTATCTGTGAAGCTCTCAGACAGCTGCATGCTGTAGAATGTGACATATTGTTTGTGTTGTTGTCAGGGGTCAAATAGGGTCAGAATAGATAGATCATGGCCAAACACAATGCTGGTCACTTCAGCAGCTGGTGGGATGGAGCCATACCATACAGATGATCCATATCTAGTAGGGCATATACAATTAATTACTTTTTAGGAATTCATATTGTTCCATCAAAAATATTGCTGGACTGGTTTAAAAGAATTGCAAAAGGTTTCAGGAAAACACTGAATAAAGAATCATCTTTTTAAAAGCAAATTATATGAATGTGTTATTCTTTGAGTCAAAGGGAAAAAGCCTGTAGAAACCAGTAACTTTGTGTCAAACTTCTTTCGAAGGGCATGTAAACATGCTTTACAAAAAAACATGCAAATCCTTATAAAACCTTGTCATTAAAGTCTTTTTCTCAACCAAACACTGTAATATTGTTATACCTGTGATCTACACTGAATGAAATTCAAATTCACACAAATAGCTGGAGTCATCAGTTAGAAATGAGTCACTATATTTACACGGCAAGACTTGAAGGACCTAGTGAAAAGCTTTCAAAGAAATACAACGGGTTCCCAAATACTACATAATAATCACCATCTATTATTATTACAATGTGATTTACAACCTGAACACCATGTCAATATCATCTGTTCATAACAACAATGAATCATATTAATTTCACTTATAATTATTTTAAATGAAATTGTTATTGAAATAAGTATCATGACTTCAGTTCGAACTTTTAAGACCCATATCTTGTACGACAGAAATTATCAGTCTAGATCAAATTCCAGTCCCAGGTGACCAAGATAATATAGTTTATATGTTTTTAATGTTCACTATCTCCAGCATCAATAAGTAACACAAAAGTGCAATATAACAGTTGAATGTAATGAATCACTCATTTACACACATTCATAGCTAGCCTACACGCATGTGAATAACAACTTTCCTTTTCCTCTATGCATAATGCAGTAAATGAATGAATCAAATTACCGCATCACTGTAAGGGCATGACCTACAACATAGACTGGTTCGAGAAGTCGGATATAAGTATTCAGCTCAAACATGATATAACACCTTTTCACACTCTGCAACACTTCTTTCACACATGTATACATAAATTATCTATTACTAACCATCACAATCAACACAGGATAGGACATGTCCTATTAGGTGTTTACACTAAATTGATCCTGTGACACCTATCTACCGCCTCCACATTTACATGTGTCTAATGGAGGACTTGCATCCAATCGCATTTTATTCCTTTGTGCCAACAATCTCATCTTCTACTACAGCCAGACCAGACAATCACAAATGTGTTGGAGTTGTGTTGACTATAGAAAACACATTCTCTATAGACTTCAAGCTTAAACTCCAGGGATATATGTATAGCTGTCTTAACATCAAGAAATTTAAGAAAAATAATGAACATTACTCCCATTTTTATGAACACATACTCAAAGAAAATTTTTCAATCAATCAATGAAAACATACAATCTGAAAACTCATTTGTTTTTATATAAATTCTAATTACCAGTATGAAAAAAACTGACAATAACAAGTTTAAATCACACAAAATCTGGTCTCCATCCCTTTACAACAGAAAATTTGATGGATAGCCTGCAAATTTCTGTATAAGTCATATTAACTATCATATTGGTTTTATGCTTGAGATACAAAACCCTTCAGTTTGCTACAATGGCTGCCTAGAGTAAAACAGAAGACAGTCTAACCATATAATTTGACTTCAGCAAAGGTATTGTTGGATGATTTGATCATTTTTCTTTAAAATATCAGACAAGAAATTGCTCAGCCATGTTTTCCACTGTGCTTCTGTAAATGATACCAGACCCAGTGAGAGTTAAATTATATCTTCCTTATTACAGCTGATTACCAACTGTCAAAACAATTTGGAGGGTGAGCCCTGTCAGAGATGCTGGATGGAAGGCCCGTAACCAATCCCCTCGGAGACGCATGTGCATTTCAAGTGCATTCCTCTCTGGTATATTATTGGTATACAAAACTGAGTCACGCTCAATGAGTTAGCACCAATGATCACAAAAAAACAGAATTTATCAGTTTGTTGTTATCATTTACATTTGCATGGATAGTAGAGAAAATCTATCTTATTATAATCATCTGTGATACTCTCTCAGCAGTAAAAGTCATCCAGGAAAAATCCCCGGGACTCTATTCCGTCGAATATCAGATTTTCACAACATATCAGCCTGCTGTAATCTGGATGTCTCAACAACTCTATAAGATAAACACATTTTACTCATCTCGGCTGTCAATGATGCAATAGCTATTTTTAGTTTATTATATCATCAATACCTTTTACAGAAAAACGACAAAGCATTTTAGATGTACATGTTCCATATCTATACAAATACATTTTCACATGCATATTACATGGTGTGAAATATAAGAATTACACATTGCATCAAAATAAGAATAACAAGTCTTTGTGCAGTATGACAGGCATATCAACAGAGCTGAAATGAATGTTTAAATGTTTGCAAATGAACAACAGCTATTTCTTGAATATTCAAATAATGAAATAGTATATGAATATTCCTTATAATTTACCTCCCCTTATCACAAACATGTACAAACATTTCAGTGGAGTCTGGGAACATTTCCAATTAAATTCAGAGAGATCTGAAGCAGAATGTAAGCTTTTCTCATCTGTTTTATCATACAAACACAGATAGACATCTCTGGGACATACGTCCTGACACTTCAAGGTAATGAACATCAGAATGACAAAAACACTTAAGTTTAGCATAGCTGCTTACAAGTGCCCAACTGACCGATGAAAATTAACCATGTCAGGTGTTTGTATTTTCATTTTTTTTCACCATAAAGGGGGCAGAGTCAATATGAAAAAATATGGCGCAGACTTTCAAATCCAGTCCAACAAAGTAAAATGGTTTCCTTGATTTGCAAACAAATAAGTTCTGTTTTCAACCTTTTGACGATGAAAAAATGTTGAGTCACCTTGTTTAACTATTTACTCTGCAGATGTTTTTATATACTTCCTAATTATAACTGAATTTACAACATATTTCTTTTCCATTCATAAGTTAAATAAAGCAATAATTACTTCAATAACTGGTATCTAGTGGAGTATAGAAGGAATATTTGAATACCAAAATCTACTTTTATTAGTTTCAGCTGTACTTATCAAAGAAATAATGTCTGCTTCTTACTCCTGCTTCAATGCTTTTGTTTTACTGATTTCTGTTATCAAAAAAGCTTTTTTAAAAACATAAAAAAAATCAGATTCATACCTTCTAGCCTCTGCGGAGTTTTTGAGAGCCAAAAACCTGGGGATAATTTATTTATCCAGTGCAGTTTTATAGCTAAATCTGCATATATAATTCATTTAATAATTGAACCAACAGCGTAAATAATGGTATGGTAATTTGTTTAACAAGTCTGATATGATCCTGTTGCCAATCTTTTACACAAGTGTGGTGTAATATCTGGCCACTGTGGTAGTGACGTATGACCAAGTACCATGAGTCAGCTTCCATCAGCCTGCTTACTTTCAGCCCATTTATTTCCTATATATCAATTATTCAATGGAGTCTTTTGTATTGGTATGAACTGTCTGCAAGTCACATGGTTATTTACTCACATATTAAATGAGAATAGTGCTCAAGGACAAAACTTTTTGTTTTATAAAAAAAAACTCCTTGCAAACCCCGTCTTTCAACCTAAACTTGGCATATATAGCAGTAAGTGAATGTGATCAGAATTTCTTCACTAGATGTAGATAAGACTTATTTTAGATTAACTGAACTTATAATAAACACTGGCCATGCAAAAAGCACAAGTAAGGACTTCCAATTTAAAATCTTTCCCCTTCTATCACCCAAATGGCCAAGCTTTCACTCACAGATTGAGGCTTGTCTGCGCTCAGCATCCCTGCTGGGAGGCTATGATAACAGACAGATACAGACAGATAAAGGAGCACAGCCAGTATACATAGTTATCATAGTGTTAGGGGCGCTATGGATCACTAATTACCTCCTATTGAAACCCAATTTACCAGTCAGCTTACAACAATGTATCAAATTACATTACATTGTATCATGTACACCTTTCCTGATACTGCTGCTGATATGCATTTTATTACAATGTTATACATAATAGAACAATGTTTGAACTGCTGATACAACATTTGGTTACAGTATAACTGTACAATGTTTTAAAGAAACTTAGTTTTTCTTTGTTTTGTTAAAAAAAGTAACACAGAATGTTTTCATGTCATTACACCACTATCAAATAATAAAAATTGTAATTCAAAGTTTGCTGATGGAGTTATTTTCCATGGTACTCAATATTTTTGCATGAGCACAATAGATTATGGCATCGTGTCACCAAATCACAGACAGCTAAAAAGCTTGCTACACAGACGGTCGGCATTAACATAATGTATTCTGTACTTGTAGCCACTGGATGACTCATAAATTGTGTTATCATTCGATTTGTAAGACAAAACTATGGTTCTTTAAATTTAAAAATCGACAAGGAGAGAAACGATAGTTTCTGTGTCAGGGCACATCCGAAATACTGTAAGTGAACACATGTGTGAAAATAGGTCAATTTCATTGCCGGTCTGACGAAAGCCGGGGCCCTTACTTCACCGCTCAGTCCATCCGAAAGTAGAAACCGCAGCACAATGCTCAGTCGTATACTCAATGCGGTGTGGAAAATTAACAGTGCACTTACCTTTCGTTATTTCTCCTAATATGACATTTTGGTGATCATCAGTAACCGGTTCCCCAATAACGAGTAAAACTGCTGCCCCTACGGGGCTGTCAGTCTCCCAATTCGTCTGCGGGCTAACTCCGTCGGTCTCCATCTTTTTAGAAAGAACCAGTCGCAGCTGCACGAAGGAAGTTTCGTGAGTGGGCTTTCGGAAGTCACTCGGAAGCACTTCATGTTTTCATATGGTAACATCCGAACCGCTGAATATTCCGAAGCACTATCGATTTTGAACCGTTTTTCAGGTGTGGTCTTCGGATGACAAATACTGATCAATAAAAATCATTTTCTGTTCACAAAAATGTAATGCATCATCGCCAGTAGTCAATGGTCTGGGTCGTAAAGGTTTTATTCTAAATGTACGCCATATTTTAAAGATGAGTGGACTTACAAAGCGATATAATGTCAAAAATATAAGAATGATGGTGCGTTACAGAGACAAACTAATTTAACCACGAGATGTTTGCACGTGTATCTGAGTTTAAAGTTTAATTAAATAACGCAGTTACATATACTGATCGTGTGCGGTTCATTATTAATTACACAGGTTGTTGTCAACTTCCATAGTTACGTCATTCGATGTGGGCGGCCTCTCGTTTTTAGGTACAATTTCAAATTCAAAACATAATTATATGCATCTGTTTTCTTCGGTCGTTTACGACATTTTTTTAAGGCAACACATAAATAAACGTATGCATGTTCAAAATCAATAATATTGTGTTTAAACTTTATTATAAAATGAAAAGTAGGGTCGGGTAAGCACTCCAGAGTCATTGACACGAAATCGGAATCAAAGACACTGTCCAATAAATATGTATAAGAATCCAGATAAGACGAGGGATGCATGATCTATCAGACTAATATTAGAACAATATTTAGCAAAAGTTACTGAAAATGACGCCAAACTTTTCTCTCTTGGTTTGTTACCGTTAAAAATAGAACCACAAAATGATATTCTAATAGAAATGTGTGGATAGGTATGGATTTTTCATGAATCTACTGTCATCTCTCAGACGCTCTGTATGCTAATACTATTCTAAAACTTTGTCTGTAAAGTAGCTAACAAATAGGAATGTCAAATATATCATAACAAAGGACAGAAAGTCGTCTCCAACAATCATTTATATAATTATCATTACTTATAAAGATTTACCAATATAAGATGAAAAAGGATGTTGTAAATTGGCCTATATGTACATCTGTCTAAATATAGTATTCTACTCCCCAGTGTTTTTCATTGGTAACGGACACTAATATTATTAGACTGTCCAATTTTACAATTTCATGGAATAATTAATGGAATGGGCTAATTTCATTTTCATCATTTTTTCACACAATGACATTAATTGAAATATACGAGAATATTTATATATCACTTTCAAAATGTTTGATACACTTATATGTCTATTCTTATATATTTTGGAGTCATTCTGTGATGCACACGTCAGTGATATGCATTAAGTACGTTTTAAGAAAGACAGAGTTGTCTTTCTTTAACCGAAGAAGGTGAATTGAAAGGTCAAATACATTAAGGGCCTACAGTCGCCATATTGTTTATCTACGATACTGCTTCAATTCAATATATTCTTACATAAAATGAAATGTCGAATGTATGATCAAATTATCAGACACCAATTCTACTTCCCATACTCATGTTGACTCAATTTAAGACAGATTTGATAACACTAATTTCATGTATATAATAGAATAGTGATACAACATATTGAACTACATTATATTGCGCAGGTATACCAAGTTGTACTGCGCCTAATAGCAACCAGTTACAGAACCAGTGTATATTTTGATTCCTGTAGCCTAAAATTTTATCCGCCAAAATGAGTCTTGCAACGACACTCCGGTTCGAAATGAACACGGGTGGAAAATCAAGTTTGAAACAAGCATTTGAAAGACAAAAAGAGCGCATTCAGGTATTTAGAAAAAGTATCTGGTAAATTTCTCAAACAAAAGAGCTTCGTACTGTACATATTTTGTAAGGTTATCTTCCTACAGTCTGTACATCATACGTAGCGATGGTGTCATATTGCTGTGGTAGTCACTGTATATATGGTACATTTGTTCGTATCGATAAAATAATAATTTAATTTTCAATCCAGCAAAATATGGATGTTTACAATTATTCATCTTCTTACAATTGCAAATGACAAATACTTTTCTAAGACTAAATTGTCCCATTAGTGAAATTGTGAAATTTAACATAATAGTTGATATATGAAATTCCAAGTATTTGTTCATTTTTTTGTTTTTGATTTTAGTTTTTGTTTGGTGTGTATTGTGTTTCTTGATAGTGTCATCGTTATTAATGGTGTAACGGTAACCTTATTCCCTAGATTGGAAGTGAGTTTTGTTTTGTTTTTTTCTCACACCTACCGTAAAATATTGACTACTGACTCTGGAACATTGAAGGATGAGAGGAGACATGATGAACAATTAAAGTTATGAACAATATATATGATAAGAGAGCTACTGAAAATTTATTTGAAATGTGTACCACAACCACAACAACAGGGCATTCTTAAAAACTATAAAAAGCATTCACGATTAGACATTGGAAAACATTTCTTTAGTCAACGAACTGTAAATTTGTGGAACAGCTTGCTCCAGCATGTTATAAATGCTACTACAGTCAGACAGTTTGAAATTTTATTTAATGAACATAATAAATTTAATCAAAATGTTAGTGTTTGATGAATTCACAGAATAGCACCAGAAGAAATATTAACACAATTTTTTTTCATGAATTGTTAAATATTGATATGGACATAGTGGCTAGCAAGCTTGCGTCCATCATGTATCGTAATATATCGTAATATTCTTACTGAATTACTGTCAGTCATTATATTAATGTTTATTTTTATTCTTCTTTTTTTCCCACTCAGTTCATTGGCTTGGTGCATTCTTCTTATTCTTGTTTAGGAAATGAGTACATGTAAGAGTTAGTCTTATTGTTATCATTATTCCATCAACTTTATAATATTTGATCTGGAGTTCATTGAAAGAACATCAGAATAATTTGAACCAATATAGGAGTATGCTTGTCAGATCCTGGGTTAGGAACTGTAAAGGAGTATATATGCTTCTTATTTTGAGGTGGGAAGTGAGCTTATGTGAAGGAGTATGTCAGTCTTTTATTTGTATGGAAATCTGTTTTCAACGTATCTTTTTCCAGCTACCTTAATCCCCATGACATGGCACTTTACTAAATGACAGGTTGATTCAAACTGATGTGGAAAAGTTAGTTCATAGTGTTTGTTTAATAATGTTGTTCTAATCCAGAGCTCTCTATCAGTTTCTACCAATTTCTTTGAAACTTGGTAGGCTTCATTTCCATGACATAAGTTGTGTTGTCCTGAATGGCAGTTTGATTCAGATTTATTTAGAAGAGTTGCTGCCCCTTGCTTATTTCATGGTGATAATCTTTTCTGGAGATCAGCTTTCAAGTTTTCTACCAATTTCTTTCAAACTTTGTAGATTTTGTAACAATTACTTGAAATCATGTTTATCTCAATGAATGGCATGGTGATTTCACCATTTTTCAGTATTTGTATCCTGTCTCTCTTTGAAATTTGGTAGGCTTTAAAGCCAAAACACGAGATTGTGTTCTCATTTACGGCATCTTTATTGAATGAAATTTCAAAAAGTTTCTGTCTTTTGTTCTTTTCATTATTTAAATCTTGTCCAAAGATTTCTTCTTTCAATTTCTAAACAATCTCTTTAAAACTTAGTTGCATAGATAAATCAGTAAAACATATAGGACTGTAAAACATTGTATGCTTTTAGTAATCAGTAAAACATATAGGACTGTAAAACATTGTATGCTTTTAGTAATCTGTAAAACATATAGGACTGTAAAACATTGTATGCTTTTAGTAATCAGTAAAACATATAGGACTGTAAAACATTGTATGCTTTTAGTAATCAGTAAAACATATAGTAATCAGTAAAACATATAGGACTGTAAAACATTGTATGCTTTTAGTAATCAGTAAAACATATAGGACTGTAAAACATTGTATGCTTTTAGTAATCAGTAAAACATATAGGACTGTAAAACATTGTATGCTTTTAGTATTCAGTAAAACATATAGTAATCAGTAAAACATATAGGACTGTAAAAAATTGTATGCTTTTAGTAATCAGTAAAACATATAGGACTGTAAAACATTGTATGCTTTTAGTAATCAGTAAAACATATAGGACTGTAAAACATTGTATGCTTTTAGTATTCAGTAAAACATATAGTAATCAGTAAAACATATAGGACTGTAAAACATTGTATGCTTTTAGTAATCAGTAAAACATATAGGACTGTAAAACATTGTATGCTTTTAGTAATCAGTAAAACATATAGTAATCAGTAAAACATATAGGACTGTAAAACATTGTATGCTTTTAGTAATCAGTAAAACATATAGGACTGTAAAACATTGTATGCTTTAGTATTCAGTAAAACATATAGTAATCAGTAAAACATATAGGACTGTAAAACATTGTATGCTTTCAGTAATCAGTAAAACATATAGGACTGTAAAACATTGTATGCTTTTAGTAATCAGTAAAACATATAGGACTGTAAAACATTGTATGCTTTTAGTAATCAGTAAAACATATAGGACTGTAAAACATTGTATGCTTTTAGTAATCAGTAAAACATATAGTAATCAGTAAAACATATAGGACTGTAAAACATTGTATGCTTTTAGTAATCAGTAAAACATATAGTAATCAGTAAAACATATAGGACTGTAAAACATTGTATGCTTTTAGTAATCAGTAAAACATATAGTAATCAGTAAAACATATAGGACTGTAAAACATTGTATGCTTTTAGTAATCAGTAAAACATATAGGACTGTAAAACATTGTATGCTTTTAGTAATCAGTAAAACATATAGGACTGTAAAACATTGTATGCTTTTAGTAATCAGTAAAACATTTAGTAATCAGTAAAACATATAGGACTGTAAAACATTGTATGCTTTTAGTATTCAGTAAAACATATAGTAATCAGTAAAACATATAGGACTGTAAAACATTGTATGCTTTCAGTAATCAGTAAAACATATAGGACTGTAAAACATTGTATGCTTTTAGTAATCAGTAAAACATATAGGACTGTAAAACATTGTATGCTTTTAGTAATCAGTAAAACATATAGGACTGTAAAACATTGTATGCTTTTAGTAATCAGTAAAACATATAGGACTGTAAAACATTGTATGCTTTTAGTATTCAGTTAAACATATAGGACTGTAAAACATTGTATGCTTTATAGTAATCAGTAAAACATATAGGACTGTAAAACATTGTATGCTTTTAGTAATCAGTAAAACATATAGGACTGTAAAACATTGTATGCTTTTAGTAATCAGTAAAACATATAGTAATCAGTAAAACATATAGGACTGTAAAACATTGTATGCTTTTAGTAATCAGTAAAACATATAGGACTGTAAAACATTGTATGCTTTTAGTAATCAGTAAAACATATAGGACTGTAAAACATTGTATGCTTTTAATAATCTGTAAAACATATAGGACTGTAAAACATTGTATGCTTTTAGTAATCAGTAAAACATATAGGACTGTAAAACATTGTATGCTTTTAGTATTCAGTAAAACATATAGGACTGTAAAACATTGTATGCTTTTAGTAATCAGTAAAACATATAGGACTGTAAAACATTGTATGCTTTTAGTATTCAGTAAAACATATAGGACTGTAAAACATTGTATGCTTTTAGTAATCAGTAAAACATATAGGACTGTAAAACATTGTATGCTTTTAGTAATCAGTAAAACATATAGTAATCAGTAAAACATATAGGACTGTAAAACATTGTATGCTTTTAGTAATCAGTAAAACATATAGGACTGTAAAACATTGTATGCTTTTAGTATTCAGTAAAACATATAGGACTGTAAAACATTGTATGCTTTTAGTAATCAGTAAAACATATAGGACTGTAAAACATTGTATGCTTTTAGTAATCAGTAAAACATATAGGACTGTAAAACATTGTATGCTTTTAGTAATCAGTAAAACATATAGGACTGTAAAACATTGTATGCTTTTAGTAATCAGTAAAACATATAGTAATCAGTAAAACATATAGGACTGTAAAACATTGTATGCTTTTAGTAATCAGTAAAACATATAGGACTGTAAAACATTGTATGCTTTTAGTAATCAGTAAAACATATAGGACTGTAAAACATTGTATGCTTTTAGTAATCAGTAAAACATATAGTAATCAGTAAAACATATAGGACTGTAAAACATTGTATGCTTTTAGTAATCAGTAAAACATATAGTAATCAGTAAAACATATAGGACTGTAAAACATTGTATGCTTTTAGTAATCAGTAAAACATATAGTAATCAGTAAAACATATAGGACTGTAAAACATTGTATGCTTTTAGTAATCAGTAAAACATATAGGACTGTAAAACATTGTATGCTTTTAGTAATCAGTAAAACATATAGTAATCAGTAAAACATATAGGACTGTAAAACATTGTATGCTTTTAGTAATCAGTAAAACATATAGGACTGTAAAACATTGTATGCTTTTAGTAATCAGTAAAACATATAGGACTGTAAAACATTGTATGCTTTTAGTAATCAGTAAAACATATAGTAATCAGTAAAACATATAGGACTGTAAAACATTGTATGCTTTTAGTAATCAGTAAAACATATAGGACTGTAAAACATTGTATGCTTTTAGTAATCAGTAACACATATAGGACTGTAAAACATTGTATGCTTTTAGTAATCTGTAAAACATATAGGACTGTAAAACATTGTATGCTTTTAGTAATCAGTAAAACATATAAGACTGTTTTCCCTCTCAACATTTTGATTCATTATTACTATTTCCATAGTTGTATTTGTTTTGATACAATAAATCACAAATAGAGCAAATTCTTTAAAATCCTTCTTCTGTAGGATTGACCAGATTCTTTCCAAGTTTGATCTTAAACTTTTTTGTGAAAGGAAATCAGTTTTGTATAACAGCAGGTCTAGGTCCCCTGGGGCTGAAGGAGAGGGGCCCAAATGGTGAAATATGGCAAATTCTTACAAGCCTGGATTTAAGCATTTTCAGCCAAGCAAAGCCAGATGAACGATACAGGACCTATGGACCTCTTGTTATTTTGCTGCTTCTGTGTGTTCTGACTTGATCAAACAAATCTCTGTATTTCTCTTCTGTAATTTATATATCTAGCGGTATATGTATAATATGCTGTTTTATATATTTGTACTGTGACATAAACTGTTTTAGCTGTTGTAACAGTTTTTTTCTATACTTTTCAGAAAGATGAAATGATGGCAGACAGAGAAAATGTTGTGAGATTGTAAGTTTATATTTATAGAAATAAGAAAAAGAGATGGAAAAAAAATCTAGTTGATGTTAACCATCAATGGTGAAAATATATACATCAGAATTATTTAGGAAAAGCAGAAATACATATGACAAACAATTTGATACTCCATTTTTAAGTGACTAGTGAGGTGAAGGAGAAGGTGTAACAAACTAATTAACATTAATGCTGTAACTTGTAATCTAAAAGATATCCCATTTTATTAGTGATTGCTTTTGTGAGTAAATATGAACCGGGTGATATTTGTTATTGTTTCATAGAGAACTAAAAACAAACCAAAGAGCTCAATGGAATGAGAACCTGGAACAATCTAGCTGGAAAAAGCGTATCCGAGAGGATGACAAAAGAATTAATGAAGAACTGACGCAGGCACATAAAGCCAGTATTGCTGTAAGTAGTGATAGAGGTGTAAGGTCAGAGGGCTTAATGTAAGTCTTCCAGTTCTAGGTGTAAAGCACACACATGCCTGGGTTAAAGGGTGAAAAGGGGTTAGAGTGAAAAAAATCAGATTACACTTAGTTTGATATTTTGAAATACATGGCTATAATTAAAAATGTTTTAACGTAGTTTGTTAAATTTATAGTAAAATTGTATGTTTATTTAATCTTAAATTCAGTTCTACTCCAAGCATGAACTGGTATAAGATTCCATGTGAAAGTAAATATATAGTTAATCATACGGTATTCTTTTGTTATCAAGTCCCCTCTTTATGATCAGGTCCCCTCTTTATGATCAGATCCCCTCTTTGTCATCAGATCCCCTCTTTATGATCAGGTCCCCTCTTTGTCATCAGATCCCCTCTTTATGATCAGGTCCCATCTTTATGATCAGATCCCCTCTTTATGATCAGGTCCCCTCTTTATGATCAGGTCCCATCTATGTCATCAGGTCCCCTCTTTATGATCAGGTCCCCTCTTTATGATCAGGTCCCATCTTTATGATCAGGTCCCCTCTGTATGATCAGGTCCCCTCTTTGTCATCAGATCCCCTCTTTATTATCAAGTCCCCTCTTTATGATCAGGTCCTCTCTTTATGATCAGGTCCCATCTTTATGATCAGGTCCTCTCTTTATGATCAGATCCCCTCTTTATGATCAGGTCCCCTCTTTGTCATCAGGTCCCCTATTTATCATCAGGTCCCATCTTTATGATCAGGTCCCATCTATGTCATCAGGTCCCGTATTTATCATTAGGTCCCCTCTTTATGATCAGATCCCCTCTTTATCATCAGGTCCCATCTATGTCATCAGGTCCCCTATTTATCATCAGGTCCCCTCTTTATGATCAAATCCCCTTTTTATCGTCAGGTCCCCTTCTTATCATCAGGTCCCCTTTTTATCATCAGGTCCCCTCTTTATCATCAGGTCCCATTTATGTCATCAGGTCCCCTCTTTATCATCTGGTCCCATTTATGTCATCAGGTCCCCTCTTTATCATCAGGTCCCATCTATGTCATCAGGTCCCCTCTTTATCATCAGGTCCCATTTATGTCATCAGGTCCCCTCTTTATCATCTGGTCCCATTTATGTCATCAGGTCCCCTTTTTATCATCAGGTCCCCTCTTTATGATCAGGTTGCCTCTTTATCATCAGGTCCCATCTTTGGTGTCTGAAGCTCACATGTTGCCAAGCAGGTTTATTTAACAAAAACAAGATGTGCTTATGAAACATTATGCCCCCAGTTGCAACAAAATTCAGAAGTGGGACATTAAGACTAAACTCTGTAAGGCATTTGCTAATTACATGCACATTTTGTGAACATTTATTTGTTTTTTTATTTTACTTTCAAATGTATATCAAAGGTCATAGTCTTAAGGTCAGACATTTTGGTACCACGGGAAAGGAACACAAGGAACACAATTGCCATATATGAAAGCTCTACTTCCTACAGTGCAATAGTTATAGGCAAGGTTAAAGTTGACATCAGACAAACAAACAACCAAAAAAACAATCTTTTGATCCGGGGGGCATAAATAACACAATTTATACAAAAATTCACGTGAACAGTTGTAACAACAGGAGTAACTGTTGAGGCATTGTTTAATGTGGAAGCTAAAATAAACTACTTATTAATCTTTCATGGACATCAAATCGAATTGAAATAACAGGACCAGTCAAAAATAATTTGCTGGAGTTTTATCCTTCATTGGAGATTTTGTTTAATATACAATCAGAGAAACAGGGCTGAAATCTTATCTGTTAGACTTGCTCTGCTGTTACTAAGAAAATAGATTAGAGTTACCTTTGATAGACAGCTAAGAATAACTCTAACAGACAACTAAATTTAGCTTTTGTAGACAGGTAAGGATAACTGGTGTAGACAGCTGAAATAAATTATATCATACAGAAAAGATTAGATATAGCCAGCTAAAATTAGCAATAGTAGATAGCTAATGTTTGCTTAATAGACAGGTAAGATTATAAATAGCAGACAGCTAATGTTGGTTATGATAGGCAGGTAAGGTATAAATAAATAGCAGACAGCTAATGTTGGCTAAATAGACAGGTAAGGTTATAAATAGCAGACAGCTATTGTTGGTTATGATAGGCAGGTAAGGTATAAATAGCAGACAGCTAATGTTGGCTAAATAGACAGGTAAGGTTATAAATAGCAGACAGCTAATGTTGGTTATGATAGGCAGGTAAGGTATAAATAGCAGACAGCTAATGTTGGCTAAATAGACAGGTAAGGTTATAAATAGCAGACAGCTAATGTTGGTTATGATAGGCAGGTAAGGTATAAATAGCAGACAGCTAATGTTGGCTAAATAGACAGGTAAGGTTATAAATAGCAGACAGCTAATGTTGGCTAAATAGACAGGTAAGGTTATAAATAGCAGACAGCTAATGTTGGTTATGATAGGCAGGTAAGGTATAAATAAATAGCAGACAGCTAATGTTGGCTAAATAGACAGGTAAGGTATAAATAGCAGACAGCTAATGTTGGCTAAATAGACAGGTAAGGTTATAAATAGCAGACAGCTATTGTTGGTTATAATAGACAGCTCAGAATAGCCATCGTATCAACACTTGAAGTGGATTCTGTTCCAGATGTTGTGTATAACCTATAATGTAGATGTCATCTGTCACATATTACATATTGTATATGTTAATATATCTGTACAGCCATAATTCTTGTTTTCTTGTCATCCATGCAGGATGAATTGACTGGACTAAATATTTCATTGTATGTGAAAGTTCAAGTAATCCGTATTTTAACCAACATCAGCTTTTGATAAAGATAAATCCCATAGCTATTTGCTCCTTTGACTGTTAACCAATTGAAAAAAATGGTATTTTCTGTTGTAGGTGAGGAGAGTGGCACTGCAAAGATTGTTAGAACAGGAACATGATATTTACGAGAAAGAACTTTACAAACTGGGAAAAACATTCTTTACACAGAGAGTGTAGTTGAGTCGGGGGTTTTAATAACAGGAGCAGCATCTGTAACATGAACTTCTACATCAGTTAAAGCTCATAACAATTTATACTCCATTAATTATGTTTAATTTTACAAAATAAGCATTGAGGGAGTGAGCTCCAGAGAAAGGGTGAGGGGAGAAAGGGAATGAATGTGAGAATCACTTGTATGGTGTTATAATTGTGTTTATTGTTAATTCTTCTTTATACAACTGTTTGCCTTTCCTGTACAGCCAGATGCCAATCATTTTTTTTTTGACTCACTGTTTTACAAATTCACAAAAGTAATATACAAATATTTAGGAGAAAAACAACTCATTTGCCAAAGTGTATGTTTTTAGTTATTTTATTGCCTTCACTAAATCAGTTTAGATTACAGACAAGTTTAAACTCCTGATGATCAGACAACTATTTTAGACACTCATTATTTAGGGATGGACTGTGAATGAAGTGTTCTGTCTACAAATGAATTTGGTAGAAAATAAATACAACTTTGTACATCATAAATACATATCTTTATGTTTTTTTTCTTGGTTTTATTTATATATAAGACAAAACGCCACCCATACAGGTAATTTTGAGAATACCATGGTTATGTTATTTGGAGAAAATCAGAACATCTGTCATTTTTATTGATTTTAGGACAAAACTTAGAACTTATGTGTCCTGAATGCTCAAACTATTACATCCATGTATTTCCAGTAATGGAGATGGAACCTATTCCCGCGGATGTGTCATGATATGATGTCCAAATGTCCTAGAGATGAAACCAACAAATAGCAATGTGCACATTAATATACATTCCAAATATGATATTGTGCGATTCAAACAGACTACACACATAAACCGCCGTGACGGACATAAGCTCATCAGTCACGCGGTTTCATATCATTACGTAATACTGCTTTATATTATCCATACATGTATTTATGGAAATGGCTCAAATATCATTCACAGGTTACTCATATTTCTGTCTTAATGATTAATCATTTCTGTAGACACTGGCCCCGATTTTGATTAATCATTTCTGTAGACACTGGCCCCGATTTTGATTAATCATTTCTGTATACACTGGCCCCGATTTTGATTAATAATTTCTGTATACACTGGCCCCGATTTCTTCCCGTCGTTTAACCTTGCGACTCTAGTGTAAAGTACATCGATATATATGATAATGAAAAGTATAGATTAAGTATTATATATGCTATTATATGTTAACTATTAACTTGGTATATAAATCGATGTCGCTCCGTCGTATGTTAAATCAAGTTCAGTGGAGACAGCCTGACTCTGTCTAATGTCCTTAAATTCTTCGTAGCTCTATGTGCGACCCTCCTATGGGCGACCGCCCTTTCTACGACCCTCCTATGGGCGATCGTCCTTTGTGCGACCCTCCTATGGGCGATCGTCCTTTGTGCGACCCTCCTATGGGCGACCGCCCTTTCTACGACCCTCCTATGGGCGACCGCCCTTTCTACGACCCTCCTATAGGCGATCGTCCTGTAATTGCTGCTGATGTTGTTTAGTTTAACAAATTGTTATCGTTTTGACGAAGGAGGTCCATGTTAATGTATGTTACATTGTCTTGCTGAAACAATTAACGGAACAATGTGTACAGATAAAACTGGGTTCCACCGCCGTGAAAACCTATTGCAATGATACATTGGTAACGTACAATTTGACACGTTTCATCCCTGTATGTTTTTTCAATAGCGAATCACTTTTTCCGCAGCTCCACCGTTACATAAATCGATTCCACTGGTCTCTTCATGCACAGGTAATGTGGTTCCTCCTCGCTGTCGGCCGCCATTGGTGGAGGAGGTCTTGCTTCAGCCTCAGCACACCTTTGCCCTGTGTCACGCCCACATTGCGTATTCGATACGACTGGCACATTGGGCGATCGGGTAGCATTTCTTGTGCATAGATGTTCAGTGTCTGTTCTGTAGTATTGGACGTCAAGATTATTATGTGAACTTTTTTCCCCATCCAACTGAATATTGGCGTATTTTCTGCCTGTCTTTGGATACTGTCTTTTACGAATACAGATTATAACAGGAATGATGATGATGAAGGCAACAAACAAGAAGTATAGTTGGTGTGGCGCGGAGATCACATCAGGTGTTTTGTTGAACGGCATTAGAATACAGTCTGTATTGTTTGTTTCTACCAATGGGCAGCTTCGGACCCTCCAGAGCATAGTGTCATTGTTGTGGAACGTTACAGTGAGACAGTTGCCTTGAAGTATGTCGTAACCCAAAACATATCTTTCTTCACGAAATAGTTTTGTCCAATATGATCTGGAATTGTTAATGAGACGGTTTTGGAAGTTGATTGGTGTGCGCTGCATGTCAATGGTAGTTGGTAAGTTGAGATGAAAAAATGAGCATACTCGTGAAGCATAATTTAGGTCATGCAACTCCTCGAAGAATTTAAACTCATTGACGAAATCATTTCTAGAACCATTCCACCCAACGCAAAAGAACGGAAGTTTGGAATCACATTCAACATTATTAAGTGTTGTTCTCCATGTACTGTTACTGCTTTCATCGAAAGAAAACGTGACACTCTTACAGTTCTCAATTACTGACTCCAGCGGGAATGCAGCGATGTCGTACTTACATACACAATCATCTTTTCCAGTCAAAGCGACTTTTGTGGAGTTAAATGGAACACCCACACAGTACATACCTTTACGGATACTGACATCCCCTTGATGAAAACACCGAGATCCCTTGAAGTAAAATGAAGAATTTTTCACATACTGCAGACATTCTGTGATTGGGTATTCACCTGATAAGTGGAAGCCTGCATTGTTAAGATGTTGCTGATTCTTGCTTGTCACCCAGCATCCGTTATATTCTATCCATGGTGTGTACCCCAAAGTGACGTCCGTCCAGTACTCCACGCCCGGAAGCAGTTCCGACGTCCGATTCCAGTCATGATCGACGATTTCGCGCATGGAAGTGACGTGAAGGGGAGAACAATGACAAGTGTCTAATGTATTATTTAAGTTCAGTTCACAGACAGGTAAATTAAAGGCATTATGTATGACGAACAGTACGAGAAACGCCGTGTATGGCGCCATTCACTACCCTGGTACACTAACCTTGTACACTGGTCTGGTACATTCACTACCCTGGTAGACTAGCCTTGTACACTGGTCTGGTACATTCACTACCCTGGTAGACTAGCCTTGTACACTGGTCTGGTACATTCACTAGCCTGGTAGACTAGCCTTGTACACTGGTCTGGTACATTCACTACCCTGGTAGACTAGCCTTGTACACTGGTCTGGTACATTCACTAGCCTGGTACAATCACTAGCCTGGTACAATCACTAGCCTGGTACAATCACCGGCCTTCTTGGTGATGAATGTCAATAAATAATCTAATCGATATCAAATACCTATAACGTATTTGAGCTGTTACCGCAGAAAACGATAATTGAAAATGGTTTTTCCCCAAAGATGTCATATGTAATCATTATCAAGCGGAAACATACATTTTATCGATGCGGTATCACTATACAAATTCTAAACAGGAAATTCATCCTTAGTACTTCTACACATCATCCTTTTCTTGAGTAAATGACCTCGACCGATAGTAAAGTTTGTTTCCCCGTCTCTGTCGGAAGTAATAGAGTGATATATTGGATGGTGATTATGTAGTGCAGCAATTGTACCAGAAAAATCACAAGTGATAAACACCTTTCAATAAAGAGCATGAACCAACGAATTAAACATCATCGTACATCTGCATAGTCCTTTCAGAACTTCTCAGTGATTCCAACAGCCTAAATTCCGAAACCCTTGAGGCGATTAAGGAAAGCAAATTTGACCGAAAGAAATATCAAAATCTGAATGGGGAGGTGTATTAGCACCATGCTTAAATAAATTTCGCATAAATCTGATAATTTCAAAGAAACATGAACAATTATATAGTATAGACAAATATGTAACCAGTTTGTAAACCAACCAACCTTCATAATTAGTCAAGTGGCGCAAGGGTAACGCACTCGACTTTCACCGAAACGTCAAGGGTTCGAATCCTGGAACGGACATTGAAAGGTAACGAGTCACGAGACCGACCACGGGGGCTTTCCCTGGATGCCAGTTTCCTCCCACAATAAGATCCCTCGTGCGCTCACATCGGGCCGACAAGAACACGTAGTAAAAACTGAATTAACTTATTCGTCAATTGTTGTAAAATGAATAGTATATATTTATAAATGGTATTGTATAAGTCATCTTAACGCATTTAATCAAGTCACAAGACCAAGTCTGAATTTCATCAATTTAGGATATATTGTATATTTTAAAATTATATATGTCCGTTTATATCTGATACACAGAGAGTGTGTGAAATAAGTGTATGTCAGCTTTCGTAAATAACTGGTTGGCTCTTAGCAAAGTACGAAAACGAATAACACAACACAAATTTAGAATCCGAAACAAAACAGATAAACAACGAGTCAAGCGGCGTTTTGTAACGTAAGAGGTGACTAGACTCAGGGTGATTGAAGGTTTTGTAACGTAAGAGGTGACTAGACTCAGGGTGATTGGAGGTTTTGTAACGTAAGAGGTGACTAGACTCAGGATGATTGAAGGTTTTGTAACGTAAGAGGTGACTAGACTCAGGATGATTGAAGGTTTTGTAACGTAAGATGTGACTAGACTCAGGGTGATTGAAGGTTTTGTAACGTAAGAGGTGACTAGACTCAGGGTGATTGGAGGTTTTGTAACGTAAGAGGTGACTAGACTCAGGGTGATTGAAGGTTTTGTAACGTAAGAGGTGACTAGACTCATGGTGATTGGAGGTTTTGTAACGTAAGAGGTGACTAGACTCATGGTGATTGAAGGTTTTGTAACGTAAGAGGTGACTAGACTCAGGATGATTGAAGGTTTTGTAACGTAAGAGGTGACTAGACTCAGGGTGATTGAAGGTTTTGTAACGTAAGAGGTGACTAGACTCAGGGTGATTGAAGGTTTTGTAACATAAGAGGTGACTAGACTCAGGGTGATTGAAGGTTTTGTAACGTAAGAGGTGACTAGACTCATGGTGATTGGAGGTTTTGTAACGTAAGAGGTGACTAGACTCGGGTGATTGGAGGTTTTGTAACGTAAGAGGTGACTAAACTCAGGGTGATTGAAGGTTTTGTAACGTAAGAGGTGACTAGACTCATGGTGATTGGAGGTTTTGTAACGTAAGAGGTGACTAGACTCAGGGTGATTGAAGGTTTTGTAACGTAAGAGGTGACTAGACTCATGGTGATTGGAGGTTTTGTAACGTAAGAGGTGACTAAACTCAGGGTGATTGAAGGTTTTGTAACGTAAGAGGTGACTAGACTCATGGTGATTGGAGGTTTTGTAACGTAAGAGGTGACTAGACTCAGGATGATTGAAGGTTTTGTAACGTAAGAGCTGACTAGACTCAGGGTGATTGGAGGTTTTGTAACGTAAGATGTGACTAGACTCAGGGTGATTGAAGGTTTTGTAACGTAAGAGGTG